AACGAATCCCGAAACCAGAATCTCCTCTTTCTTCGTCAACCTCCGTAGCGACGATGGATTCTTCATCCTTTTCAAATCGGCTAGACATATTCGAAATTTACCGGCGCTATTGCGGTAACATCCAATCCAATTATTTTACTTTATTCTGAAACTACAATTATTTCCTTGATTGATCGATAGTTGCTATGGGTTTTTTCATTTCTTACCTTATGAATGATGCGTACGAAAGAAAACAATGTCTCTCCTATCTCCTGACATCTAATATCATCAAGAATTTCAGTTGGTTAAAGATTAAAAGTAGATTCAGTAATCAATTACATTAAAACTTGGAATGATGTTCATGGATTCGCTTTAACCCTCGCAAATGAGGTTTTGGATCCTGAAATTACTTAACTATTCCGAGTTTTAATCCACAGGCTATGCGATTCTGATGATTCAAACTGCAATAATCACTTAAATAACACACAACCAAACACCCTTTAATTCTTCAATTGGCTTTCTTTTCCAGAAATCACATCAGAGGCATATGCCTTTGGAGAAGATGGTTACAGACCAGCCAATGAGTCAAAGAAATCCAAACTATACAGAGATGCATTATCCCAGCTTCTACAACTAGTTGAGTCAAGAGTGGACAAAAGGTATATATGTTTCTTCTTTCTTTTCTTTCTACTTATATTCATCATAAGTGGTTATTATTATTATTATTATTATTATTATTATTATTATTCCTATTACTTTCATCTCATGGATTCTTTGTATCAGTTAAAGATTGACGAATGTTGTGGTTCTTACTTTTTTTGATAACAGAATGCCAATACTTGAAGAAATTCCTATGCTCATGTCAAGGCTTGATTTGATGGTGAGATGTGAACAATTTTTTATTCAATGAAACATATATATTTATATGTGTGTTATTATATTATATGTTACCAATGAATACGTTTTTTTATACCTGTAGGTAGACTCATGTGAATTCTCACGTTTCTATAACTTTATGTTCTTCATATGCCGAGAAAATGGTCAAAGAAGCATAAGTAAGTTTGCATATCTATAAAATATGGATAATTAATTATTTCATGCTACTTCTTAAAACCCATTTTGGATTTTTTTTTTTTTTTTTTTTTTGTGAACTTTTCTTAGCTGTAAGCAGAGCAATCATTGCATGGAAATTAGTTTTATCCGGAAGGTTCCGACTACTCAATCAATGGTGCAGTTTTGTTGAGGTGGTTTTAGTTAATAACAATAAAACTATATGAATTTGGTATTTTTCATTAATTTTTTCATGTCGTATATTAAAATATAAACTAATTTTATAAGTTTAACGTGTAGAAAAATCAGAGGCACAATATCTCGGAGGACACATGGCGACAAGTTTTGGCATTTAGCAGATGTGTACATGAAAATCTTGAAGGATATGATCCTGAAGGTACTATAACTTTCTCCATTAAGTCGTTCTTTCTGTATTAAGTGCTTATAAATTATAAAAAAAAAGATGATTAAAACAATTTTATATGTCTAATGTCCTCTTTTGTATTTGTATGTGTCAGGAGCTTGGCCTGTTTTGATTGATGAGTTTGTGGAGCATATGTATATCATAAATGGATCTGAAGATGCTCGTAGCTTCTCTTGTAGTTGTGGTGACTCAGAAACCGAACCAATTGTTGATTCTCTCCCTGGTATGTAAATACAGATAGTCCGGTACAATACACTTTTTTAGAACTGTCAGTCCGGTACAATACACTTTTTTAGAACTGTCAGTCCGGTACAATACACTTTTTTTGAACTGTCAGTCCGGTACAATACACTTTTTTTGAACTGTCAGTCCGGTACAATACACTTTTTTTGAACTGTCAGTCCGGTACAAATACAATACACTTTTTTTGAACTGTCAGGTACATTTTTTGTACTTTGTAGGACTAGCAGTCCGGTACAATGCGCTTTTTTATGACCGACAGTCTGGTACAATATACTTTTTTATGACCAACGGTTCGGTACAATGCGCTTTTTTTTCGATGATACATTACACTTTATGAGGACTGACAGTATGGTACAAATACAATACACTTTATCTGGACCGACTGTTCAGTACATTTTTTGTACTTTTTGGGACTAGCAGTCCGGTACCATACACTTTTTTAATACTGAGAGTATGGTACAAATACAATATAATATTTTAGGACCAGTTGTCCAATATACTTTTCTAGGACTGACAGTTTGGTACAAATATATTGGACTGCCAGTACTTTATAGGATTGGCAGTCCAGTATCATACATACACCTTCTTAGGACTGTCACCTTTTTAGGACTGACAGTCTGGTACAAATAGTGTACGATTTTTTTTAGGAATGTATGGTACTGGACTGACAATGACAATATTTGGACACTTTCTTTTGAAGGATTGAAAATTCTTCCTGGGGTGAAGAGGAAATTGGGCGAGGAAGAATTTAGGGATTCAAATACAATTATGAATTCAAAAAGAAGGCAAACTGATTTTCGGGAGGGATGTGCAATGAGTAGTAGCCCATCGTGTGCTGTGGAGGGCAGCCTTTCAAAAGGTTTTGCAGAACTTTTCTCTGGTCTTTCTTGTTTGCAATTTGATCGTGAAACGAGGGTTCCATTTACATTATAATTGTTTTTTCTTTTTTGTGTTTTAGTTGTGTGTGTATGTGTGTGAATTCATATATGTTTCGTGCGTATCCCCATTTTTCATTTTTCTTAGTTTCTTTTTGGGGGTAGGCGATGGTTTATAGTGTATTGTGTGATTGATAAATGGAATAAGAAAATCACACCATGTATGTGGTAAGATCGTGTATGTCATGTGATAAGTAATGTTATTTTGGGCCGATAAATGTTGTTAATGTGTTTGATGAAATGTCTCAAAGAGCTTTGTGAACAAATAGATAAACATTATGGCGATTGATGAAATGCCTAGAATAGTGTTTTTTTAAATAACAAATAGATGGCTTATGAGTCATTTTAATTAGGGGTGACAATGGGTTGGGTTGGGTCATAAACGGGTTGATTTGTTTAGTTAAATGGGTTGAAAATCTTTACTCAACCTAACTTATTTAAGTAAGCAGGTTGAAAATTTCCAACCCAACCTAACATTTTTAATAAATAGGTTGAAATTAGGTTGACTTGATTATTGTTTTTCCAACCCAATCTATTTACTAAACAAGTTAAACCTGGGTTGACCCGTTTAAATTTTCATAAAAAACCTCATTAAAAATCAAATAATACATCAAATAAAATTACATACAATTTAAAAGCTATATTAATTGTTCAAGTTTGAAAATTATACAACAATAGCTTTATTGACCCATAACATAAACACAAATAAAAATTTTATATATGTTTAAATTCTACACTTTTACCAATTCGAATACAATAATGGTTAGTAAGGGTTAATTACCCATGGTTTTTGATAAATAAAAAATAGTCAAAATTTAATGATCAACTAAATAATAATACTAAATAAATATAAATAAAAAAATATTTAATCATTTTAAATGGGTTGGCAAGTTGTAAATGGGTTAGGAAATTAACTCTATCCCAACCCATTTAATTAAACGAGTTTGACAAGTTGATCCATTTAATTAAATGGGTTCAAAATCTCAACCCAACCTACTATTTATTGAGTTGGGTTTCGGGTTAGGATTGTCACCCCTAATTTCAATGCCTCAAAAATAGTCTAAAGAACAAACTGATGTCATTTAAGTGTTTGATGTAATGCTTAAAATTGTATTAAGAACAAATTGATGTCATTTATGTGTTTGTGGAAAGAAATGCTTCAAAGGAGTTTTTGAGGGTAGAAAGAACACTATAAATTGAAAACAACAAACAACAAGCGGTTGCCTTTTAGGTGTTTGATTAAATGCCCAAAAAGTATTGTAAACAACAAAAGAATAAATGGTTGCCTTTTGGTGTTTCATTATATGCCCGAAAGAGTTTTAAAGCAAGAAACATGAACCCTATACATACATTTATATTAGATGTAGCATTCAAGAAGGGGGAAATAGCAAAGGACCAGAGCATGATCTTGTGATTTTACCATGGTTGAGATCTATGTTATTGAGCTTCTGATGGCACCAATGGAGTTGAGGAGTGGATATAACTGACATCATGAGTACTCTTGACACAAGCTTCAACTCGATCATGGCAAACATCATGTCTTTCTTTTGAGAATCTCCTAAATCTGTGACTTTGTTTCTCAACCAACATCTCTTTTTTCCCTTTAAATTCTTCATCCACAACTCTTTCTATAAAAGCAAACAATAAACACAAAAATAAAAAAACAGCTCAAATTAATTCATCTCTATATCAAACACAGATTAAGCTCCTAAGCTAACAACATGGGGTCGATGAGAATTTCAATTCAAATGTGGATTGCTCTGGATATTGAACTCTTATGTCGGACACTAGCAGGCCACAATGTGAGTTTCAGTTAGACCTACACATTGAGGGTCTTAGATCTGTCTCGAAACAGTCTGGTTTTTTTCTGGTTTTTTTCCGGACTGGTCTTGAAAATGTATTCTTCTCGGTCTGGTATTAATGTGGTCCGGTCTTTTTCAGACCAATATCGCAGTCTTTGCCAACGCCTTTTGTCGGTTCGGATTTGAGGTATTTCGGTTTAAATTTGTTTTTTATTTTTTGTTTTTTTGTATTTTCAATCTGATTTTTGATTTTTCTATTTTTTCCATCCGATTTTGGTTTCAACCCCACAATTATTTTAATTAGATTTGATCATGTGTAATAATCAACAAGACTTATGATTAAGATTTAAACTTTACATTAAGTTTAAATTTCATAATCCAATATATATATATATATATATATATATATTATTGAAAGTTTGTTCACACAAATGTTTCATTTTGAAGTTGGTTTTTGTCTTTTTACCAATCAATAAAAGTTATGTTGGATAAATTGTAAGTAGGAGTTAGTTAATTTCACAAATAAACAAGTTAGATTGGAGTTGAATGATTTCATAAATGTCCGAGTTAGATTAGAGTTGAGTGGTTCATAAATGCGAGTATGAAATACCCATATGCATATAGTATGAACATGTGGTGGTTGGGTTGATGTTATTACATTTACAAGAAAAGAGCTTAAAGAAATTGACCGCAAATTCTAAATGATATTGTTGTATCTGTTTTGCCAAAACCCCGACTTCTGAGTTGGTTGAAATGACTTATGGGTTGCAGAAAACACGTTGCAAAAACTATGGTGCTTTGTTTGCAAGTGAAGGGAATTATGAGTTTGCACGTCACACTCACTTATGGTCGAGGCGTACGACTATAGTCAACGACAATTAATAAGATCACGTATATGAGTAGGTTCATTTGTACTTGTTTATCTTTATCTTTTCCTTTGATGTTTCTATTTATTGTTTTCTTTGTTGTAACCATGGTTGCAGAAATCGGGATTAATCGGCGATTAATCGTGGATTAATCGCTTGGCGTTCTCCAACCGTCGAGGATTAGGGTATTAATCGGAAATTTAGGATTAATCGGGTTTGGCGGGATTAATCGGTCTTGGCGGGATTAATCGGTCTTGGCGGGATTAATCGGTCAACAAAAGTCAATAAAAAGTAAAAAAATTCAAAAAAAGTAAAAAAAAAGTCAAAAATTTAAAAAATTTAAAAAAAAAATTCAAAAAATCAAGTTTTTTTTACTCCAAAATTTTCAGATTTTCAAAATTTCAAATATTATACCAAATTGTTCATATTTTCGTATTTTCAAATTACAAATTTTCTTATTTTATAATTTTGAAGTATTTGTTTTTCTTAAGATATATATTAATATTTGATTAATTTTAATATTTTATTAATAATCTATGGTCCTCGATTAATCCGCGATTAATCCCCGCCAAGACCGATTAATCTCTTAACACCTGTCGACCGTCGAGCTACCGTCAAGCGATTTTTACAACCTTAGTTGTAACAAATGTATGAATAAATGTGAAACTATTTTTTTTTTCACACATTTGTTACAACAAAGAAAACAATATGAAAGGAAACGATTAAGAAACCATAACTGAAACGATAAAGATAAACAACAAAGGAAACGATAAAGATAAACAAGTACAAATGGACGATACTCTTAAACACAATCTTATTGATTGTTGCCTACTAAAGTCGGGTGCCTAGGCAATAAGAGAGTGTGATGTGCAAGCCCAAAATTCCCTTCACTCACAAAAAAGCACCATAAATTTTTGTAATGCACTTTCTGCAACACATAAACCATTTCAACTAACTCAAAAGTTTGCCAAACATCGCAGCGTCGATGGGGGGTTTGGCAAAATAAATACAACAATATCGTTTGAAATTACATCCATTTTTTAGTTAAGCTCTTTTCTTGTAAGCATGATAACAATTACCCAACCATCACCTATTTATAATATATATATATATATATATATATATATATATATATATATATATATATATATATATATATATATATATATATATATATATATATATTATAGAAGGGTATTTCACATGTACGTTTATGAACCACCAACCTAATCTAACTCGGATATTTATAAAATTACCCAACTCCAACCAAACTTGTTTATTTATGAAATTAACCGACCCCTGCTTACAACCTATCTAACATAATTTTTTTTATCCATCGGTACAAATACAAAAACTAACTTCAAAATGAAATATATGTATGAACAATCATTCAATAAAATATTTAAAATATATATTGGGTTTTGAAATTTAAACTTAATACGAAGCCTTAAACCTTAAATATAATGCTTGTTTTAATTATAAAGGAAAACGATAAAGTTTCAATATTTTGGGTTAGTCTAGGGTTTAATCTCAACATTTATTTTTTGAACAGAAAAGTCTCGATTATTTTATATTTTACCCCAATTAACTAAATAACCCTTATTTTATTTCAACGGAAAATGACATATTAGCATATAAAGTTAGATAATCAGAACTTTTCTGTTCAAAAATAAATTTTGTTATTAAACCGTAAACTGACCCAAAATATTGGGATTTTATTGGAGATTTCCCTTTTATAAATGGGAAAAATATTGTAACATGATTAAATCTAATTAAAATACATGTAGATTGAAAAAAATTCCATTAAAAAAAATTGAAAGAGTAAATTACACGAATGGTCCTTATGGTTTAGGGTAATTTGCGTGTTTGGTCCCTAACTTATTTTTTGAACTCGGAAGGTCCCTACTGTTTGTTTTTGTTACGCGCTTGGTCCCTATGTTACCAAAAAAGACTATTTTGTCCTTGATTTTTTTTACTTTATTTAAATAAACACATCCCCAATCACACCCCTCACTTTATCTTACCTACCCCATCGTTTTTCCCTATTTAAATAATAGTCTTTTTAGGTAAGACAAGGACCAAACGCATAACAAAAATAAACAGTAGGGACCAAACGTGTAACAAAAACAAATAGTAGAGACCCCCCGAGTTGAAAAAATAAGTTAGGGACCAAGCACACAAATTACCCCAAACCATAGGGACCATTCGTGTAATTTACTCAAACTGAAAATGGGAACCGAACCAAAATAACCCAATTCCAAACCGAAAAAGGCGCACGTAAAGACCACATGACCAGATCACAAAAAATGAGATATTTCCCGACAGAACTGCATTAAGACCAAACCGATAAAAGAGTGTTCTGAGAACGCCCTAGATCGGTCCGGACGGGTTTGAGACCACCAAATCACCAATGTGCAGCCGTGCAGGTACACTAAGCCCTTATATCAAGTTTTAAGCCATTTAGTGAGTTGTTGTGTGGGAGTTTCGGTTTCTGTGTTGTTTGTAGAAAGCCACTATATCTTATTTATATCTCAAGTAATATACTTGTAGTAATCTTTATGGGTTTATTTATAACGAGTGTTTTTGTTGAGTAAAAGTGATCACCTGTCGCAATGTACGTGTAAGATCATGCAAGAGATTGAAGTCTCGTGGGTCTTCTAATGGTGAACGAGTCCATGAAAGATGGTTACTTGTTCTCCACCAAGGTTTCTTCTTGTCTACTTCGATAAATGACTTGAAAGTCTTCATGCATTTCTCTATGGTTTTCAACACATCCGTCGCCCTCATCATTAGCTCTTCGTTCCTTTCTTCTTTCTTGTGGTTTGCTTTTTCTTAATATGCACAAAACATTCGATTTTTATTAAACAAAAGGCACCAACATATTTGATAAAAGTACCCTTTATCCCTTATGTTAAGATATAATATAATACCCGAATCTGGAAAAAAGAAAACCCGTTGATGTAAAATCGTCAAACTTAATTTTTTTTTGTTCAAACCATCAACCATGCACACTTTACAGTTTATAATAGAACAACAAACTAACAACTCGAATAAGAAGCCTTTGTAAAGCCCAAAATCCAAACTAGTTAAGTGACCCTATAACCCCTATAAAATCAACTTACAATAAAAAAGCGTAACAAGTTTGCAACTAAGCTCCATAAATCCATTATAATTTGACGTTTTTCTTTTTCGGTTTAGTGATCATCAAATTTTTTGATTTAACTAAGTTTATTTCTTTTCTAACAAACCATTACATAAAAACCACTATCACGGAATTAATTAGGTTTAGCATTGGAAGAAACTCCTTTTTAATGATTTAACCAATAAAACTTTGAATATTTAATAAAAATACTATTTTTAAACAAAACACATATTCTTCCGTTTTGCAATTCAGTATTGGAAAAAACTTAGAGCGGTTGGACTAGAAAAAAGAAAATATTTTTGTGGTTAAAAAAAACAAATTATATGGTTTCTATGGAATTTGGACAATTATTTATGTATTAATTTTTTTCTTGTGAAATTTAAACTTCGGTCAAACTCTATTTTGAAGTGTTCATAACAAATGATCACCATTAGACTCATTAATATGTTTGTAAAAAACAAGACGACATACTAGTTGAAAAACTAGTTGATAGTTGAAAGCTAGTTGTTATATGAAAAGTTAATCGATAAAAATGACATTTGGTAACTAGCTGATAAGCTAGCTGAAAGATATAAAATGATATAAAATGACATTTAAAAAAATATGATTTTTATAATTAATTAAGGGTATATTTTACAAAATTAAAAATGCTCATAAAAAGATAGTCTAAGTAATTTAAAAAAAAAACAACTAGCCTATAAGTTACTTTTTGGTTTGCCAAAACATGACAATCTAAAAAAACTAAAAAAATAAGCTAACTTATCAGCTAGTTGTGGTTACGGCTGTAAACGAACCGAACGAACACGAACGATGGTTGTTCATGATCGTTTGTTTAAGTTAGCCGAACAAACGAACAAACACGAAAGGATAAACGAACTAGTTTTCTTGTTCATGTTCATAACATAAACAAACATATAATATAGTAATGTAATAAAACATAATTGAACGTATATTAACATAAAAGAACTTAAATGAACGAACATAAACAGACGTAAACGAACAACATAAATGAATGTTCACGAACATAATCGAACGAACAAGACCATTGTCCATGTTCGTTCATCTAACTAAACGAACAAAAATTTGTGTTCATGTTCGTTTATTTATTAAATAAACGAACATAAATGAACTTCCCACCGAACGGTTCACTAACAGTTTTTTGAACGTTCGGTTCATTTACAGCTCTAACCGTGAAAATACAACCTTAATTTGATAACTATATACTACCGTTTCTTTCTCATTTAATAGAGATTTAATATAGAGAATATGATAAATAAGAAATTTTAATTTGGATATCCCTTATATTTTCTTCCTATTTATCTTTCTACCTATTTAAAATGGTAATAAATATCATATTTTTTTTATAAAATTAATATTTTTTAAGACACTTGTAATCTTTAATAAGTAGGAGAAAAGTTCAATTTCAAATCGTAACTTAATATTTTTTTCCATTACTTTTTTCATATACACTCATTTTTTTAAGAAAAAAACATTGACCACACTTAATAATGCTAAAAATAATAATAAACAATGTTTTAGTGTACCTGAAACTTGAGGAACTAGTAGTAGGCTCTTAAGTGAAGACCTTCTCTGATTAAAATTCCAATACCTTTTGCCATTTTCAGACCTTTCATCCTCCATAAACCTCTCTAGCAGAATCTGAAACCTCTGAAATTTAAGTACCAAAGTACTACTACACAATGCACCATAATCCGATGTACAAGTATCATGAGCACATGAATCAACAATAGCTTCAAGCTTTCTATATTGATCATGGAGTGCTTCCCATGATAAACATGATTGAGCCACATACACCATCTCAAAATCACTTTCCAAGCTCTTTAAAATTCTTTCATCGCCACCCAAACGCCGTTTATTATTCCCCACAAGCGCCTCTAAAACGTTAATTAATTAATATATATATCAAGAATGATTAATATTTCATTGATGGATTAATTGAATTAATGGTGAAATTATGAGAAAAGAAACTCACGAAGTGCACATGTTCGTTCTTGGTTGAGAAGATCAAACCAGTTTACTCTTTCGGTGTAAGATTTGTAAAATGAATCTTTTTCTTCTTCTTCTTCTTCCTCTTCTTCTTCTTCATCAGGTTTAAAAAAAGCTGTAAATATGAGGGAAGATTATGTATTTACCAGAAAACCAGGAAAAAACGGATTTAACGACGTCGTTAAGACCATGTTTGAAAGTGACACCGCACCTGTTAACTCCGGTGTGGCTCCATCGTTGTCAGTGTCGGCTTGATCTTCTTCCGGTAAAGTGCATGAAGATGACGGGTGTTTGAAATTACCTCCATGTCCCTAAGGGTACCAAAAGAGTAAGAACTAATAGGTGAACTTGCACCAGAAAAACTTGTGCTTTCATCATCTAGATCCGAACTTGAACATATAGACATGGTTTCTTGATCAACTGACTCAATGTGAACGTCACAAAAGGTTATTTTAGTAATTTCAGGAGAACACTCATGGCGTAAAAGCAAGATCCCATGAGTATTACTTGAGGAGCTTAGAGAATCACCAACTTCATACCACAAATCTTCTTCTTCTTCTTCTTTTTGTGCTTCGGTGTTGCCATTGTTGAATTTTGAAAACGTGCGTGTTATGATCATTAAGACTCCATTGACATGTGAGAATAGAGAGTGATTAATGAGAAGGATCCATCTTTTTAGGGTTTTGATCCAGAGGATAATTTGACAGAAGAAGAGGAAGAAGGGATGGATATAGAAGCTTAGAAAAAACCACTTCATAAATCCATCTGGGATCAAGAAGACTTCAATAATAAGCCAACAGTTTGCAAGCAACGCCATGCCTAAAAGACTCTCGCAAGCCTTAGTAAACACATATAAAGAAAGTAGTAGTTTGTTTGTCCAAAATATTATGTATCTAAAATATGAAAGATATGTAAAATTGACCATTTAAACAATTTTTTATCTTCTTTTATATATAGTTTTATGAATAGTTGACATATTAGATATGATTATTACAATAATAATACTATGTTTTTAAGAGAATGATTTAAAAGATTGTAAATACATTTCAGTTTTTTCATTTATTTTCTTAAAAATAGCAATGAAAAACCTCACTTTACTCAGTTTTGAAATCAAGCTTACACATTTACATGCTCTTGGTTGAAGCTTTTTCAATCATTGTGACTAAACGTTTTGAAGAATTTATTAAACCAAAAGGCTTTTATATTAAACCAAAAGGCTTTTGAAAAAGCTCCTGCCTTGAATGTTCTAAAGGCGTGTTCGGCAAAACTAACCGGTAGCGGGTACTCGGGTAGCGGTTAGCTTATGATTTTAGAGCTTTTTGTTGAAAGCTACTTTATGTAGCTTTTGATTTTGGAGCGTTTTGTTTAGGCTAAAAGCTAAACGCTTCCGTCGCCGAACGAGGCTTTTTCTTTTTACTAGCGTTTTCTTAAAAGCTAGAAGCCAGAAGCTCCCAAAAGCTGCGTGCCGAACACGCCCTAAGTGTTGAATTATAGAGTCTGATTGTTTCTAGAGCAGCTGACCATTGTTATGGTGACTAAGCAATGGGTTCCTAGTAGAGTACTTAACAAGCATATATGTGATGCCTATTTATCATCAAAATAGGTGTAACATCCCAAAATCCAGGACCAAAAATTTCGTTTTAATTAAGTTATTACATAAAACCATCCGTGTAAAAACATTCATAATAATATCACGTGTCAAACCAAAGTGTCAGTAATCAAAACATGTTATCATAAAATAATATCAGAGTGTAATCCCAATGATCTCATGTGCAGAAAATATAGTGAGATGCGTTGCGATCGAGCCGGCTCCTTTCCTTTGAAAATGAAGTACCTGAAACCAAAACTAAAAACCGTAAGCACGAAGCTTAGTGAGTTCCCCCATCATACCACATACCATACAATAACATATCTAGCCAAACATATCTGGGTGCCGGCCTCACCTTCGGTCTATTTCAACTGGATAGTTGCCTAGCATATCTGGGTGCTGGCCTCCCCTTCGGTCTATTTTAACCGGATAGTTGCCTAGCATATATGGGTGCTGGCCTCCCCTTCGGTCTATTTCAACCGGATATCGGGGACTATTTCACCCCCTACCACTACCACATAATAACATATCATAACATACATAAATATACTGTCAGGCATATCTAGGTGCCCGACCTACCCTTTCAGTATCTTTCAACCGGTATCCGGGGACTATTTCACCCCTACCACTACCACATAATAACATAACATACTAGCACATAAAGCATATAGATAGTGGCATACCAAATAATTTTCACAAAGATAATCATCTAACAAACAACTCCTACTAGTGGGCCGACATTGTGGCCTTAGACCCACTTCTACTGGAAGGTAACTCACCTCACACTGCTGAAGTCCAGTAGACACAATCCCAGCTGCTGGTTGACAGATTCTCGAACTGTCAATATCAAACATCACCCAATTAATAATTGGGTCCCAACACAAAAATCATAAGTCCATGCTTGGGGTAAAAGACTACTTTACCCCCATCTTAGCTTGATTCAAGCTCAAGGCCTAATCCAAAGGCCCAAAGGTCAATATCTTAATCAAGGCCCAACATATGACCTAATTTTCCAAATTGGGCCCAAACCTTTACATGGTCTCACTCTAAAGCCCAACCATTTATTCCAGTCCAACCTTTGACATTCTACTGGCCAAATATCATATAATCATTAAGGCCCAAACTATGGCCCATCTATGGCCCAATTTTCCAAATTGGGCGCAACTCCTCATATGGGTCTTACCTCAAAGCCCATTAATTATTCTAGTCTATTTGCTTGATCTTGGGTGGCCCATTAATAACCCAATCATTAAGGCCCAATAAAAAGGCCAAACAATAAACCCAAGTGAAATTAGGGTTTCACATAAAATGACGATTAGGGTTAAGTGTCCCTACTTAACCCATTAAGGACTTAATCCATTAAGTCCCACCTTGCCTTAGGTTAATTGCAATTGGTTATTAATTAATATTTTAAGTTCATTAAATAATTCCGATGCGGTCCCGATAAATCCCAAATTAGGGTTTCATGGCATTAGGGTTTTCCAAACCCTAATTAGGGTTTCCAACCCATCTCAGCCCAATAGGCCCAATAGTTAGATCCTTTGACCAATTAGGGTTCATTAGGCCCATTAGGGTTTCACTAAGCCCATTAGGGCTTCATTGGGCCCATTAGGGTTTCAAGCATCCCAAAACGAATCACAATACAAACGAGGCACACCGCCACCCGACACGACGGCCGGTGGCGGCAGCCACCACCTCAACAACCTAGTGGTGGACGGCGGTGGCACATGGTGGCAGTGGCTTCCTTGTGATTTCCGGCTAGACTAAACATGCACCAACAGAAATACATGCACACAAGCCCGCTATATAGTCACAAAACAACTCCAGCCACCCACCTAGTGGCTCACGACGACGACAGCAAGGTTTTCAGACGGTAGCCACCACCTGACGGTGGTGGCGATGGCTTCTTTTGGCTCCCTGACCAGCAACAACATACACAATCAAGCCCTTGCTTGGAATCCTGGACGCAACCACCACTTGGGGGTGCATGACGACGGCAACAACAGTTCTAACGGCCACATCGGTGGCTATCGGCGGCGGCTAGCAGAAAGGAGTGAAGAAGAACGATGGAGGAACCACTATAGAAGTAGTGGCGATACAACATGAACGAAGAGGCGGAGAGGGTGGGAAACTCCCATCGGAAATCACCGCCACGACGCCCGACGACGAGTTCCTCCGGTTACCCACTGCCATGGCGTCCCATGGCAGCCTTGGCCTTCAGCGGAGGTTGAAGCAGCAGAGAAGCTCGGCGGAGGCTGCGACTTCGACAGCAGGAGGGGTAGTGGTGGTCTTGCCGGCCGGATAACCGATGTGAACAGGTGGTGCGGCGGCTGGAAGAGGGAGGCATACGGGTGGCGGCTGTGAGGGTGTTTAGGGTTAGGGTTACGGGGTAAACAGCTATATACCCGACACCCTCAAACACTTCGCCATAATGCCAAGATCAGCTCCTCCTTTCTCTTTTTCTTTCAAACCTAGGCCATAATTTACTCTTCCCACCCCTGCTCACATAATTCCTTTCATATTTAGTCCCAAAGTTACCATTCGGCCCCTAGCCTCCCAAAATGTTTTCAAATAAAGTCCCATAAATTCCCATTTAGTCCCTGCCTTCATAAATACTTACAAAACCAGTCCAGAACTTACACTTTTAACCCCCAATCTCTTAAATTGTGACATTTAGCTCCTCGAGACCTACACCTTGCTATGTAATTATTGATTTTAGGGCTACTATACAATCATTAATTTGTTTATTTATTTAATAAATAAACAAGGTGTTACAACTCTCCCCCACTTAAATTAGATTTCGTCCTCGAAATTATTCCTTACCATTTCTTATGCGCCAAACCACTCAAGTAACACGGTCACCATCCTGGGCACACCCTAGCCTTCCCAGGGTAGCCTTGCCCAATCTTCGCAAAGCCCTAAAATCCGCGGGTGAATGAATTCCTCGCAACAAGTTCACATCTACTCCGTCTGAAATCTGCTGTCTTGGGATGGTCTGATTCCCGGACAGACCACTCATACTGAATCATTATCGTTGAAACCATTCCGCTTATCCCTCAACTGACTACTCAACTTCCGATAGCCTGAGGCTCCCACTAGAAAACTTAAATCACAGAACCAATTATCCCTGCAGGTCATTTAGCATAACCCAAGCAATCTGTTATTCTGACCGAACTTGCAACCTAAACACTAATACTAATACTGCCAATCGTTGAAACTGTCCAAACATTAAACTGCCTAAAGTAGTATGTTGTCACATGGCTGCTTGTCAAAATCTACCAAGACCTCCCTGGTCTCAATTCGTTCACCAATCATCTGAAATACCGGGTTCCGGCCCGGCCGCGAAGCCAAAGGACTCCCCACTTAGTCGCCTCACACGACTTCTGAACGAAATCCTTCTCTGGAACTAGTTGCCACTAGTTATCATGCCACTATGACTCTACTACTTTCTGATCTAACGATCGGGTCCATGCGTCGAATCCTGTCATCATCAAATCCAAGACTAAAAGTGATTGCTACCTGACCAATGGTAGCTTTATCTCACACGTCCTTAAGCAGTCTATTGCTTTCCTGATCTCATAACTGTAGTGATGTTCCAACAGTCGTATCGCTGGCTCAACCAGATCTAATCCATTTGGGTAATCCCGAAATCCAATCCGTGGATTTCCATATCCTCACTGCTGCACCCGAACTGGTGGGTACTACTGTTCCTTCTGCGTCCTAACAACACACTCATGCTATCTACCAACCTAGTGAATGTTGCGGCTACACCCACAGACTTACATCACTCTAGCACTATCTGCTAACCTTGTGAATGCTACGGCTACACCCGCAGACTTACAACACTCTCCATACTACTTGATTGCTAGCGAATGCTATGGCTACCCCCGCAGTCTTACAACACTTTCCACACTACCTGATCGCTAATGAATGCTACGGCTACCCCCACAGTCTTACAACACTTTCATACCGATCGAACGCACTCGACCTAACACACCACTGAACTTGAGTCCTAACTGGAGCTCTAACTT